TGTATTGTTCTTGCCTGAAGTCCTTTCCACTGAATGACTGACTGGATGAGGGTATTATCTTCTGAAAAGAGCCAAAAAGTAAATATTTTCGGCTCTTCAAGACATAGGTCTTTGTCATAACTAGACCACTATGCTGTTGCACAGTTAAAGTAGTCATAGATAACAGATACAGCAATAGGCAAGGTGGTGCTACAGTAAGAATTAAGATACAGGCTGTGCTACCGTAAGACTTAGGAAAGTCTTACTGGAATCCTAATTCCATCATAATTATTTTATTCTTTTCAGCATAGTTGAGAATTGATGAGTAATATTGCAATAATTCCTAAAATAATGAAATGGGAAAACGTATTAAGATAGAACAATATATGAACACTAAAATCCCAAAATGTATTTTAAATTTACAAAAGTGTCCAAAAAACCAACATGGTAATTTGAAGATCAAATAAACTTTATGAGAAATACAGCTCAGTTTTCTTTATTCTTTTGAAGAGTAAGTCATGAAATTTCAATTCTTACAAACAGAACTGCTCAAAATAATTCAGAAATGAAAAATGGTTCAAGGAACTGATTGTACAGTGCTCACCAATACATACAGTCAATTATGTGACTTTGATTCAGTAGTTATAAGGTCTGAGATTCTGTAAAAGCAAAAAAAGAAAATCTCCAGGGTCTTTTTCTTTTTTTTTTTTTTAACGTCAGGTTTGGGAACTACTAGGCTAGGAGTTCTCAAAGTATATATAGCCCCCTAACTAACCGCATCAGCATCAACTAGAAACTTCTCAGAAATGCAAATTCTTGGGCTGCAACTCACATTACTGAATCAGATATCCTGTACCATGTGAAAAGCAGCAAAATTTATCTTTCAAGTGATTCTGATACCAGCTAACTTTTGACTTCATTAGCCTAAGAAAGGTCCCTCCCAACCACCAAAGTTGGACCAGGGGGTACCACACAAAGTTAAACCAATTTCTTGAGATTTAGGGGTCCTAATGTCTGGTGCTTATTACTGCTTCTATATGTTAAGGAGTCCTGTAATGATTTCATGACTAATAATTTAGCTGCACATGGCTAATTCTTGCCAATAACCCATTCTTTTTCTGCCTTGCTATACTACCTAGACTGTCTACCATATAAAAATTGTAATACAGACTTTCTTGAGTTTTTGTTTAGAAGAAAATAACATTGATGGGCACAGGGTAGTTGAGAATACTACCCTGAGGAAGTAACACATAAAAAATTAATGGTTTTTGGCATATTATAAAAGTGCAATAGAGGATGTTACTGTTAATTATTGAACCATACTATTCTCTAAACTTAAATTTGTGCTTTCCCTTAAACAAATTTTTTCTTATTGCAAGTTACACTTATACAGTGCAGAAAATAAAAATAGAAACAACCAATCAATTCGGAAACCCAGATAAACTAACATTTTGATTATATTCTTCCAGTCCTTTTAGGCTTTTGTTTCTTTCTCTCTCTCTCTTTCCTTAGTAATCATTCTTTCAATAATACAAACAGATAACACAATTTTACAAAAATTGTGCTACAGAACAGGATATTGGTGACTTTTTAAATATTAGAGCTACCCCACCCAGCTGCAGATAGCACTGCAACATTTCCTTAACAGATGATAGGTTCAAATTATAAAGTCCACACACTGGCTAAAAAGTTCAAGTTCAGAGTTTCAATCAATTGTCACTGTAAGAATAAAACTGAATTTTACTCAACCTGTATCTTTTTAAGAGGATGGGCCACCTCCAATACATCCTTTCTCTTGGACATTTTTTAACACTCCAATGTTCTGTACCATGAAATCAGGATGGCTGAAACAAAATCTACAGGTACTTTTTAGAAAGCAAGTCCCCAAGTGATTATTACCCATACCAGAATGAGAATTGTTCCTATAATCTGTTCTTACTGAGTGCTATGCCAAACTTGGACTAGGATTAAATTGCAATAAAAATTCTGCAGTATACAAAATTTTTATCAGTCTATCTAGAAAGAGAGAACTACTCTTTCATGGTAGAGCAGTCACTGTGTTCACATTTATTTTTTATAAAAATCAACTTACTTTCAAACAAAGAATTGAGGCAATTTGCAGTAAATTTTAAATACGAGTCATGGAAATATCAAGATAATAGCATGTATGGGCAGTAATAAGTATGCCAAAAAATTAAGGGTAATATACAAAACAATCAAACATTATTACAGCTGGCTATGAGGTTCCCAATAAACAGTGCAAAATAGTGAAATATAATAAAATCATTATCATCTGACCAAAAGCTGCCTGATACTTTTCTCAAACATAATGGATTACTTCAACATTTTTTTATTAAATATTTCAAATTGTTTCTTCAGGTGAAAACTTTTTTATCACCTGTAAAAACGATATAACTTCATAGGCATTTCTTAGGGGTAAACTAATGAATGAGGCAATTTTTCTTGATATCTAAATTAATCAACTCAGTGTTCATTTAGATGGAAGTCAAGTTTGAGAGAACCATCCTACCTTTTCAGCTATCAATTATCTCAAGAGGAGTTTTCACCAGAGGAGAGCAGTCAATTCAAAACATTCTGTAAATAGGCTAACTTGTATTTTCTTGAAAACAGTAGAGAATTGCAGCTTAGAAGAAAAAAGCAAGTGTTACCACAATCACTTCCATCTTTTCTTCTGTTTTGCTTTGAGACAGAGTCTTATTCTGTCACCCAGGCTGAAATGCAGTGGCGCAGTCTTGGCTCACTATAACCTCTGCTTCCCCAGTTGAAGTGATTCTCCTGCTTCTACCGCCAGAAAAGCTGGGATTACAGGCCTGTGCCACCATGCCCGGCTAATTTTTTTTTTTTTTGTATGTTTAGTAGAGACGGGGTTTCACCATGTTGTCCAGGATGGACTTGAACTCCTAATCTCAAGTGATCCACCCACCTGAGCCTCCCAAAGTGCTGAGATTACAGGTGTGGACCAGAGCACCAATCACCTCAATCTAATAAGAACTTAATCACCTTGGTGCTGTTTCACTGAAACAGATTTTTAAGAATCCTCTTCTGGTAGAGAAGACTACTCTCTATCCACATGTTACAATACATATATTTGCTGTAACTATTCTTTCTTTAAAATTAACCTCCAGGAAACTGATTGTATTAGCCCATTAAATGATACTTACTATTTTTATTCTCCATCTGAACACTGGAGTATTGGCTCAAAACAATGAGCTTTGTTTTGGCCTAGTTGTTGGGTTTTTTTCCTTTCCCCACCATAAAGATGCAACACTTTCTGCTTATTTCTGACTCCTAATAGTAAATTCATGCCATTAGCAAAATCTTAATAATTTTCCTATATGCTGTAAAAATATTAAGTATCATGCATACCTAAAAGCAATATGGGACTACTTAACCCTAAGTGGAAAAGGAAGCAGGACCATGTCAAAAGATCTATCACATTCCTTTCGACATTGAGCAAGCCATTCCTTTAGATAACAATTGCCACTCATTCTATTCCTAAATGAGAAACCATGACAACTTTTAAACAGCAAAAGGTTAGAATTCATGACTAGTCTGAAAGATTCTGTTTCCACTATATCAAGAGATGACAGATCAATAAAAGCTATGAAAAGCCTAACACTCCTGGCTTATTTCTAGAGATCAAGCAATGTAAAATGTACACTGATAAAATGAGTAACTAAAAATCATGTTTTCTCATGCAAGAAGGTGACAAGAACAGACAAATTTCCATGCAGTATCTAGGAAACCAACTTCTTTGTGAAGATAAAGGGTTCATATTTCACCTTCTGCCCATATCACCATATGGGTAAAGAGCCATAAAGTGGTAGGTTACAGAGTTTGGCAAAGATTGGGAGAGGGGAGGACATGTATGACAGTATCTCAACCACCTATCTACACTGATCAAGTCAAATGATTTAAAGTGATCACATCAAATGACTTGTTTGATTCATTTGATCAAATATAGAGTGATTAAGTTTGATCTCCCCCATATAAATTATAGCAAAAAGAAGTAAAACATGCTGGACAAGTAAAGTTTTTAACTCTTCAAAATCATTTTGGTGGAGAGAAGTGTAGAATAGTTTTTTCACCGGAAACCCGTGAACTACATAGCATTCAACAGACACTGCAGAAATTGAGGTCTGACTCTCCTAGTCATTAACCTGTGCAAGGATAGTCAATGCTTTAAAAAAAAAAATGCTACACATAAAGAAATTTGAACTTAAATTCCTCCTAAAGCCTACTTAAGACATTATTTACCTTTGCTAAGATAGGGAGGAAGTTCTTTTGCTTTTAAATTCCAGAGAAGAGTTGTGGTAAACCTCTTCCAGAAGGTAATCAGGAAACGTTAAATATTCTCTGGACCTGAGTCACATGCAGTTGTGTTTAAAATGTATTACTAGTGTGTGTGGTACATACACACACCAGTACCCATAAAAAATTATTATTGCTTAAGACAAAAACAAAAAAGGAAAAAAATATTACTGCTTTTTTGAGACAGGGTCTCACTCTGTGGCCCAGGCTGGAGTGCAGTTTAACAATCATGGTTCATTGCAGCCTTGAACTTCCCAGCTTAAGTGATCCTCCCACATCAGCCTCCCAAGCAGGGATTACAGGCACGAGTAAAACCACATCTGGCTAATTTTGTTTTATTTTTTGCAGAGACAAGGTCACACTATGTTGCCCAGACTGTTCTTGAACTGCTGGGCTCAAGTGAGTCTATAGTCTCAGCTTCCCAAAGTGTTGGGATTATACATGTGAGCCACTGCACCCAGTCCCACTAAAAAATTACAAGTGTATTTTTGTATATATGTATATACACACACTCCACATATATATAAAGGAAATCTAATACATTTATCACAAACATATGCAAATGAAAAACATAGGACTGAATGACTGCACCTAGAAATATATTAAGTATTTTATCCCAAATTTAGTTCAAACATCTGGAAACACAAAAGTGAGCTCAAAACCAAAGGAAGCAACAATTAAGTCCATACCTAATAGCCCAGTGTCTACATCATCTTCATTTTTCAAATTCTCAGCATGCAACTCTGTAAATACAAAGAGGGGCTTAGGTAGGAAAGTAATATAATTTGAAAAGTAACTCAAGGGCTGTGAAGGCACTGTAGAACTGTGGAAAGTGCTCTGATGTCAGTTAAGAACTGGGCTCAAAGTCTGATTCAATTTACTAGCTATGTGACCTTCAGCAAACAAGTGAACAGTATTGACCACTAAAGGAGCCAACAGCTATGTACTGTACGTAAAATGGGAGTACTGTTCATTCCCTAGGGGTGTTGTGAAGGCTAAAAAGCATACCAGGTCGACTTCAGTTCCTTTCTCCATTCTTCAAAGTAAGCACAGTTCAATGTCTTCTGCAACTGAATTACACTTATGGTTTTGTGACTTTATGACACAAAGGCAATGTTTGAGCAAGACAAATAAACCACCCAGGAGACAAAACTATCAGGATTGAAAAAAGGGAAAAAAGGGTGGGGGAAAGGAATGATAAAGAAATGAAACCTTGGCAGCCAATCATTTAAGACTGACAGTTTACGTTTTATGAACATTCACAGTTTAGCATTTTATGAAGAGGTAAAAGGTTTTAGACCCATGCCATCTGCAGCCCACTAAAAGCTGGGAAGCAATGAGGACAAATAAAAACTGGAGTTAAATAGATTTAATGATAATTAATGAAGTACAAAGGTAACACTTCAGTGACAATGTTTTGAGTGCTTTTCATACAACAAAGTTTTGGGTTTTTTTGAGTAACTTGGCAAAGGTCACAAACTAGTGAGGATGGAAATTTAAACTTAACTTTGCTTCTTTCCACTGCAATATACACTGGCCAACTAAATTATACATCCGTATGCCTTGGAATAAACTTTCAACTGGCCAGTATTTCAACTTCAGACAGAAAAATAATTAGAAGAGTGCACTACACCTGGATACAAACTTAAATGCTAAGAGGCTAATTATTTTACCTACAAAAGTAGAAACTTGGACTATGCGATGGAAATCTTTGTCCCTCAGGATTCTATGTACAGCGGGATTGGTGGATAGCACATCTTTATTTGTCGATGAAGGCCACTGAACATATAGCCTATTTTAATTATACGCACTTTTCATAGTCTCCTTTTAATGGTGGGTGTTTCGCGTTTTGTTTAATTTTGCCAATATTCCATCTCCCATGTTCAAGGACTCGAAGATATTTCTTCAAGAGTGCCCATTTAATCAAAAGATCCTTTTAAAAGGGTCTCCTGATCATGGATTAGGACTTTCCAATTAGAAAAGGCAAAGGGCTAGAGAGCAAAGAAAGATGCAAATAAGGATGGGTGAAAGCAGCTGTCAGCCTGCGGGCTTTGGCAGCGCGAGGGAAAAGGAGATGGGTGCAGGCGAGAGCCACACCCTGGCTCAACTTTACTCAGAACGACTTTCAAGGCCTCGGCTTTAATACCTTTAACGATCAAGTAGGCGATGGCGAGGAGGAAGGCGAGAAGGATGGCGAAGAGCAGCGAGCAGAGAATAGAGAGGACCTGGACCGGCCACCGCCGTGGCTGGGCTCTGCTGCCCGCAGCCGCCAGGAAGATACCATTGCGTTTATCGGGCAGAACAGGCGACCCGTCCGCGGACGGCGGGAGCAGCGAGCCTTTTCTGGGCTCTGACCACGCCCCAGCCGAGAACTCCGCCCGCAAGTCGCGGGCCACTTGGTCGCATCCCTCCTCGTCGACTTCGCCTTCACCCCAACTGTCCCCCTGAGTAAAGGAGGAATACTTCGGCCGAGCCAAAGGGGCCGGGGTGCCGGGACCGCGGCGGCGCAAAGCCGACCGCCACCCGCTCTCCACAAACGACATGGCGCGAAAGACAGTGAAACCCGCGGAGAACGAGCCTCTCCCATCCGCCCCGCCCCGTGTCCGCAACAGCCAATCCGCGGCCGGGTGTCGCCCTGGCCGCCACCACCAGGCCTCAGAGTCCAGGGGTGGACCGCGGAGAGCAAGGGTGGGCGGCGTGGCGCAAAGGAAGCCGTGGGGCCAGAGTACAGGCGGAATGCTCCTGGGCCAGAGCTTGACCCCAGAGCTGTAGCCGGAAGGGGGAGCAGGAAAGCGCGCAGGGACAAGTGAGCGGAAGCCAAGGGCAGTCGAGTCTCGACTCCCTGCAGCGCTTCGTCCGGGCCGGAGACCTCCGCCACAGCCGCGTCACCAACGTGAGCGCGCGCCCCGACCTCCCCAAAGCCGCATCTTTCCAACGCTGGGTCCTAGCGCCTGCTCGCACCCTGTGACACACATTCCCGAACCTATTTGCTCTCTCCTTTCTTCCCCGCTACGCTCACACTCTTCTCCAGGTTCCCCAATTAAGGGCAGCTCTCTGTCCTGCGCTCTCGCGGTGCCTTAATTACTCACCCCTATCTCCCTTTACTGTGGTTCTCCCCAACCGTACCACAACTTCCCTCACGCTGCTCGACACGCCTCCTTCCCCCAGCCCCAGCGCGCGCTTTCCACCTGGTGCGTACTAAGCTCGAACCCTCGCCTCGGAACTCCACCTCTCACCTTCCCCGCCCGCCCCCTCAGTCTCGAGCACCGCGCGCGCGCATTCGGCCCCAGCCACCGCTAACGCTGGAGGCTACTTACTCCCGCCCCCTCCACCCTACTCCTGGCGGCCTCAGGTTTGTGGGGCGTATGTAACTCTGGCGGGGAGAGTGAAGGTGGCAGGCCCCCACTGCCCCACCCCCTACGGGGTGAGGCGGTCTAAACTCGGGAAGTTGGGACACGGCTGTCTTCCCTTCCCCTGGGGAAGTTGGTAGAGTTTTCCCGACGGAGGACTCGGCGCAGAAACTTCCTCCGTCCTCCTCCCCACTCCATGCAGGCAACGTCGAGTGAGGCTGAGGCTGGGGGCGAATCGCCGCAGAGCTGCGTGTCGGCGGCGCATTCTGATTGGACAGCGGGGAAGCCTGTCAGCCTGTTGGCCCCGCTGATCCCGCCCCGTAGCGCAGGGCAGCCTTTAACCTTTAGCCCCAGCGGGCGCCAGCCACTCAGATCGCTTCTTGTTGGTATGTGTAGCGGCAGTGGCCGCCGGCGGAGCAGTCTGAGCCCGACGATGAGGCCAGGGACGGGAGCTGAGCGTGGAGGCCTCATGGTGAGTGAAATGGAGAGCCATCCTCCCTCGCAGGGTCCTGGGGACGGGGAGCGGAGATTGTCCGGCTCCAGCCTCTGCTCCGGCTCTTGGGTCTCTGCTGACGGCTTCCTGAGGAGACGGCCCTCGGTAAGGGATCAGTGGGGCAGGGGGTAGGCGGCACAATGAAAAACGGAGTGAGAGAAACAGGAAGCTTTCTCCGAAAGGAGAAGATAAGAGTGGACGAAGGAAGAACTCGAGATGGTGGGATATGTTCTGAGGGAGAGAATTGGAGGGTGGGGTTACACAAAGAGAAGGATGGGAGACCCTAGAAGTTCCCTGTGGGCTTGGCCTAAACAGATGCGTAGTGAAGGTGCTCGTTCTTGGGCGGGGTGAGCGTCTTGGAGCTTTAGGCCCGATTTAGCTGCGAGGGGGAGCAGGGACTTGATTCTGTAAGACTTTAATAGCGACTGCCAAAATTTGTTTTCATTAGTCGTGGTGGTGGTCTGCAGGGGGAACTCTTGGGACAATTGGCAGGAGATAATTACCTGGTTTTAATTTAAAACATGGAACAATGGGTTCATCGGTAAAGAACGTAGTTGTGTTTTTAAAGTGCGTTAAAATGGATGAATTAGTTATTTGCATTTAGTGCCCGTGAGTGACAGAACCTTAGTCTTTGAAATTTATTTTTGGCAGAAGAATTTTAACTGTTTTAAAGGTTGTGTTAGAAAGTAAGTTTGTTAGGAGTGAATTGACCCTGAGTACCCATACTGTTTGTGTCTTAAAAGACCGGATCTCTCACCTGAGTTAATTTGACAGAGCATTTTAAAGTTTAAAATCAATAGTGTTACAAAATAACAATAGCTGGCTATCTTGTATATCTGCATGAAATAGAAAGGTTGTTGTTTTCACCGAAACAGTTTTAAAATTAGCATTGAATATATATCCTCGAAGCTTAGTAAGCCAATTAGTAGCTGATTAAGTCAATGCTTAAAAAATAAAAAATAGAAAACCTATGATGCAGCTGTCCAGTAATCATCTTAACTTTTCCTGTTTTGTTATGGAATTTACAAGCTCGTTTTAAATACTAGCAGAATGCATTTTGTTTAAAGTATAGACTGATCCAATTATGTGATTACACATAAGCTTAGTATTGTCGCAGATAACTGATTTGTTGAAATGAGATTTTTGAGAAGCACTTAGTGTTATTTGCTCATTTAAAAAATGTTCACTGTTTTTCAGATGGGGCACCCTGGCATGCATTATGCCCCAATGGGAATGCACCCTATGAGTCAGAGAGCAAATATGCCTCCTGTACCTCACGGAATGATGCCGCAGATGATGCCCCCTATGGGAGGACCACCAATGGGACAAGTAAGAATGTTTTTGTTTTATTTTGCACTTATTTGTTTTTGCCTCAGATATTCTGTCAAGATTTCAAAATCTATACTTATAGTTATTTAAGAATTAGTTTTTGCCCGAATAATTTCAAATAAGCCAAATGTTGAATCATGACTAACGGAAATTTGAATGTAATGAAAAAGTCTGAGAAATTTACTGATGACCTCAAGAAAAGAATTTTTTTCTTTATTATTTAAAAGTAACAGTGTGCATCCAGGCTTTTATTTTTTAATGATTATTGTTTCAAGCATGCCAGTTGAAGTTAATGTTCTAAGAGTAAATATTATCTGATAGAGCAACATAACTGATTTTGGTGGACCATGTAAATAAATAGAATCTGAAAATAGCAATTGTTTAGGCCTTTGGCTTAGAGGGGATTTTATTCCTGAAATATCTTCCTCTTTCTGTGCTGGAGGAGGCTGAGGAAGGGTAGGGAGTTTGTGCTCTATAGTTCTTATTGTTCATAGGACAGTGCCAAATAGGTAGTTCATTTTCCACTTACACTATTTTTTTTTAATGCTTATTGTTTGTACACTCCTGCTTTTGAGCTGTCCCTTCCATCTCTAGCATAAATTGTAAATGGACATTTTGTAGGAGTGATTTGGATCAATAGGTTTTAATGCTGATTTAGTGATTTTGGTAGAACTGAGTTTCTAGAGAAGCATCCAAGAAAGGTAACAAGTTCAGTTACCAGGAGTAATTTTGTGCTCCATGTTAAGTTCTATAATCTTTTGGTAGCTGGGTTATTTCCGTTTGAGTATTTCCATAAATCATCAAAAATTTAGGCTAACAAAATATTTTGGAAGCCAATTTCATGTGATCTTTTGCTAATTAGTATTGTTTGATAATTGTTTAAGCTTTCATGGTTAAAGTTATTGGTGAAATTGCAGTGGGAAAAGGAGCTTGCTATGTGTCTGTCTCTTTTTACTTAACCTTAAGAGTAGAAGGGCTTAATGTCAAGTGATTTCCTTTTTTTTTTTTTTATTTGGAATATTGCCCTTAATTTTGTTTAAAAAAAAAAAAAAAATTGTTCTAAGGCACCAGCCCCGAAAGATTCTGCCTGCAGTTCTTTAAATAAAAGAGCCTTTTATTCTGTTACTCTAGAATAACACAAATTTTAAAACTCTCTAGGTGATGGAGAAACAACTTTGATTCCTCTTCTGTTTCTTTCCATCTCTAAGCAGCAAGGAGCTCTTCTTGTTTTCTTGGTAGAGCTGCTCTAACTAGATAATGAGCTTTAAAAATATTTATTCTTTAAATGCTCTGGTTCTTATTTAAAATTAGTTTCTTTCCACAGAAAGATAAAATAAAACAATTTGCTACTGCCAGATGCTTCTCTCTTTTCTGGGGCCTTCTGTTTCCATTGGGCCAATCAAGGTAAGTTTTGCAAGGGATTGACCTGCTTACCCTTGCTGTAATGGTGCTATTGCACTACCAAAACGAAGATACCAGCTAGTCATATTTCCAGTAAAAAAAAAAAAAAAAAAAAAGAAAAAATGCAGATTTTATTTTTTAAAAGTACTTTCATGTATCTCATTGACATAAGCTGGTCACAGTTTGCTTTATGGCCCTTTCTCTTTAGCTATATCAGTGACCATCTTTGTAGTTAAGTTTACTAGCTACTTGGTACACATCCATTCAAGTAACTAATTTTTTTTTTTTTTTTTTTTTTTTTTTGGTGTGGTTTTCTTCTGCTTTTTCCTAGGCTAATATATGCCATGTGCCTTTAAGTATATCTGATTATTTAGATGTTTAGAATTCTTCTCCCTCTGAAGGCTCCTGTTTGTATAATAAATGAATGTTTTAGTAAGAGTTATGCTTTGAAAGTCCCAAAAGAATCTCCACTGTTTTTGTCAGAATAATATCATTCCCTTTTCTCCCCTTAATATCTCACTAACAAATATAGGGCCCAAATCTTGGTAAAACAAATTCTTATTTTAGCTTTGTAACAGACTGGGAGAGCATGGATAATTTGAATTCTCAAATCAGAAATCTTATTTGAAACTCTGTAAACATTGCTTTAAAAATTAAAGGTGATAACAAATAGCACCATTGATACTTTTTTCCTGTATTTTTTCTTCTGCCACTCTCAGAAGTACTGATGAGCAGTAAGTGGTCAGAAGATAATTGAGAAGAAGCAGGATGTCTGTATCATTCACAGTAGTGACAGTTGGGAGGGTTCTGCCATGCAGTTTTAAAAAGTTGATTCACAAGTTCTTTAGACTTTGGGACTGAAGGTTATGAAAACCTTCATGTATTGACTGGTTTGCATGAACATCTCATGCTGGGACCAGCTAAAGACTAACATTGGTGGCAGTTTTACTTGCCAAATGATTGTGGTCTTTGGAATGTTACCAAATATGACATGAAATTTTAAAAGTTGTTTGTAAAATGATACGCAGACTGTGTAGCATAATGATGTATGGAAGCAGGGTTCATAATTTCTCAAATGCATCAAATTATTTACCTTAAAGAAGTGGTCTGGTCAAATTTTTTTTAATTCATGAGATGACCTAGAATGCCATCTCATGCATTTAGGCTGACTGTTAGTAGTAATAAATGTTTAATGATTATCAAATTGAGCTTAATATTCTTTTAGGTTTATTTCAGTTTTCTATATTATAGATTAAATTTGTCTCTTACTCTATGTAACATTATATGAAAGTCATACTTTTAGAGTTATAGGATCTTATAGCTGAAAGAGACCTTACAAATTGTTTAAGCTTTAAATAATGTGTGATTTAAGATGCTTTGAGGGATCACTGGTTTAAAAAACCATGTTAGTAAAGAAAGATAAAGAATTTTACCTGCTGGATAGCAGTACTCAAAAATTTCCCTTTGGTAGGCCAAGACAGGTGCATCACTTGAGGTTTAGGAGTTTGAGACCAGCCTGAGCAACATGGTGAAACCCTGTCCCTCAAAAAATGTAAAAAAAAAAAAGATTAGCTGGGCATGGTGGCATGTGCCTGTCATTCTTGCTACTTAGGGAGCTGAGGCAGAAGGATTGCTTAAACCTGGGAATTCGAGGCTGCAGTGAGCCAGGATCACACCACTGCACTCCATCCTGGGTGACAAAGTAAGATCTTATTTCAAAAAAATAAAGATCTTCTGTAGAGATTTCTATCAAAATAAAATTATATGTGAGGCTGTCTTCTTTCTTCTCAGTGTTTATAGTAAATAATATTTTCATGTCTTACTCTTGTTTTTTCTACACAAAGGACATGCAAATCCTGCCATCTTTATCACAGATGATTATGCCTTTGCCTCAGAGAGTCCTACTAGCTGGCTTTTTTCCCCCCCTATTTTGAGTCTTCATTTTTCTCTTCCAATGAGAAGAGTAGACTAAGTGACTTAAGGTCCCTTTCAGCTCTAATAGCCTATGATTCCTTTCAGATCATTTGGTAAGAGTAGATATCGGATTTTATGGGTTGATATGGAAATAAATAGAAAATTCCTTTAGTAATGCCTCCCTAATTCTATTTATTCAGTACCTTTTTTTTGGTCTTTGGTCAGAAAACTGCTAAATAATTACTTTTTACAAATGAATTTGATTTTCTTGTTCCTATATTAAGTAAGGCAGGCTCTAACAGATCTTATTTTATTTTTATTCCTGCTTCCACATGAGCCCAAGTCATCACTCTCCCATGCCTAGGTTATTCAACAGTTTTTGAGTTGAGTTGGTTTTCTTGCTTCAAGGATGGCGCCCCCCCATCCAAGCTCTAGACTTCAGTGTGTTATCTCCTTGCCCAAGAATCTCCAGTATTTTCAGTGCCAATAACATAGTATCTAAATTCCACAGCTTAACTTTGAATAATCTCATGTCAAAGCAGGATTCAAGGCTGCATGTCTTCACACTCCCTAATTTGAACTTAGGCTGGTCTTTTCAGAGTATCTTGATTATATTAGTTCACAACTTCAAACTTCCACTGTTCTTACCCTCCTGCTCCCAGCTCACTATCACCATGAACTTTGCTTTGTTACCTGTGTTCTACTACTACAAAAGCTTCTCCAAAAGCTTCTCATAAATAACTTTTGTCAACATGTACGTCCCCTTCAGATTATTAAAGAACATATATAATCTGCCCGTAACTCTTATTGTTTTACTTATTTTGGCACTTACTGACTTGTTTTATGGTTTCTTACTTGCTTTAATTTTCCAACAAGTAATAGATTGTAAGCTCTTAGAGGGCAGGGGCTCTGTCCTGTACTTTTTAAAAAGCCTATAGGTGCTGAGCACAGTTCTTGGCACATCGTGGGTGCTCAGTAAAATACTTGTTGAATGAATGAAACAAATACACAGGTATTCTTTCCTGCAGCATTAGCCCATAAGCCAGTCAGTGTTACATGTGACTGTTTCTACTGGTTACTTGTGACTTTACGTTGTTACTAATTCTTGTTTTTAGTGTCTGCCTCTTTACTCTTTCGTTTTCATTTGACAAAAATGGAAGATAAATAAGAGGAAGTAATTTTTGTTTGGAGAATAAAACTAAAATACTTCCATTTACAGTCGAACCTCTGTATCCAGAGATTCAAGCAACTACGGATGGAAAATAGTCTTTAAAAAAAGCAACAACAAAAAATACAAATTTTTAAAAATACAGTATAACAACTCTTTACATAGAATTTACATTGTATAAGGTATTATAAGTAATTTAGAGGTAAAGTATACACGAATATGTGTGGGTTACACACAAATACTGTGCCGTGTCATAAAAGGAATTTGAGCATCCTCAGACTTTGGTATGGAGGGTGTCATCCGGGAATGAGTCCCATCAGGATACCAAGGAATGACTGTATTTAAAAATACAGGCGAATGTGACTTAATTGATGATCATCTCTTTAAAAAGTTTTGCCACAGATGTTTTCCATACTCTAGGGGAACATGATAAAGTAGAATGTAAGCTTTGCAGAGAAATTCAGTGTATTGGTATCTTAGACTTACATGACTGATTTGACAGATTTACTTGTTGCTG